AGTAGATATTTCGATTAAGCCAACGCAAAAATTTTTATCCCGTGCCAGATTTACTTACTTAAAATTCATAACTCAATAATTAAAATATTTTCAGAAAGACTGTCCATCCGACAAAATATGCGTTATTTTAACTGGCCTTCTATTTTTTTCCGATTTAAGCAGAATAGAAGGCCGTGTATTTAAGTAGGCCATGTTTCTTATATGCGTTTTACAAAAGCAACTGTAAAAAAGCAATTTAAACAAAAAAAAAATCATTTAAGCAATTTGTTTTGAAAAAACAGTTTATTTTTTCAAAACAAGTTTTTCTTATTTCCAGGTAAACGAGGTTAAAAATACTTAAAACGAAGACTTTTTACATTCGACGATGGTTTATTTAATTTAGTATTTGTTCCTCGTTTTCGATGATAGTTTATTTAATTTAGTATTAGTTCTTTGTAATTTTATTATTAAACTTCTTGATTGATTAAATTATTATTTATCTAGTTATTCATTTATCTAGATTTATATTTAATTATTTATAATTATTATTAATATCAATACTTAGTAGCTGTAATACTTAATAGCTATACCATGTAATATAATACTTAATAGCCATACCATTAGAGGCTAGTGTTTGCCTAATAGAAAGACTCCAGTGGAATTTACAATTGTCCATAACAAGCACTGGCGCTTCAACCTTTGCATTCCTAATCGCTGGTGCCATCATTGTAGTTATGAAAGTACAAAATGAATCTCCATTCTAGCCTCCAGTTTTTATTTCATAAGCAAGCGCTCCCATTGTTGAAACAGCACAAATTAAATCAACATTCTTACCACGATTTGCAGGTGACTGTAAAATTGCTGGCGTACCTCTTAGCAAACAACCATATGTGCTATTAGTGTGCACATTAAATCCAGTTTCATCCAAATAAATAAGTTTTTTTATCTGAAATTCCGTTTATTTTGCTTGCAAATGCGTATCGTGCATTAATAACTGGTTGAGTTTCGTTCTTCGGCACATGCACAACACGTTTTCTTGATAAATCCGAGCGTTTGAGTTTTCTTGAAATAGTAGGCTGAGACAAGTTGAAGCTTGTAGCAGAATGATTTTTTTTTTTATTGCTTCTTGCGTGCAAAGATTTTTTTCTTGTACGCATAATTCGAAAATATTTTTTATTTGAGAGTTTATAGGTCTTTTACCTCGTTTTTTATTAGAAAACGACTTTTTTTTTTTTTGTTTGTTATTAAGGTGCCCCAAGAAGTCCTTATGGTCTTATCACAGAGCACCGCGGAAGAGCATTTTAATGGGAAGTTCGCGCCTCCTTCCTAACCGATGTCGCAGAGCTTGACAGAGGTAGGGTTTGAACCAGGGATCTTACGTTTCTGAGGCAAGTGCGCTACCACTGCGCCACGACTGCTTAACTTGGCTTGAATGCAGTCATGTCGTCGAATTATCCTCTGTTTAACTTAACGACAAGATTTTGAACAGTGCGCTTCGATAAATTAAGGCGAGGCTAATAATACAAAAATAATCAGATGATTTTTAACATTAATTCAAATTTTTTTAAAAATACTTAGGAAAAAATTATAATTTTTTTAAAATTAGGTTTTTTTTAGCACAACCACCTTAATAGAGCCTCTTACATAATTGCTTTTATATTTATATATCTTTTTATTTAAATATATATTATTTAACTTTCCCTATACTGAATAAACAATGATTTAGGATTGAACTTGTCAAATGAATAGTTATATGGCAGAAATCAAATAAAGAAGTTTTATTATTAGGTTAAAACTTTGATATTTATTGATTATAACATCTTAAGTAATGCAGACGTCTGCCAGTCACAAAACATAATCTTCGTGCTAAAACTAACCACTGTATATTCAATACGATTAAGTGATTTGACGCCGCAAAAAAAAAAAATTGTGTTCAGATTAAAAGTAAATTTCTAAGCCAACCATATTAATTTAATATTAAATAATTATTTTAGAATTTTAAAAAAAAGCATAAAAAAAAATTTCTATTTTATCATTAGTTTATTTAACGACTACGGATTCTTTCAGGGATCTTTTCTTCATACATTGAGCTATTTTGAATAAATGCAAGTAGTCTCTCTTGTTCAACCTTAATTAAATGGATTCCATATTCTTTTTCTAATGTTTTAATTATGCCATTGTCAATAATATCTTTAAGCAAAGCACCATCAACTTGGTTATCACTTATAAAAGTTGATAACTTTTTTAAGTTAATTTTATCCATTGCAGATACGACGTCGTTAACAGACCATCGGTCTACTGTTGAGTTTAATACACTGTTTTTTTCTTTTGCTCTCCAACCATGCACGTACTTATAAAGTTTGCGAGCTTCAAAATGAGTAAGCTTCATTTCACGAAGTGCTTCTTCACTAAGATTTATTAAAAGAAGACCATTTATTAACTGTTTTTTGAACATATGCTTATATTTACTTAGATTAAGTTTTTTTAAAACATTTCCAACTTCTTCAATTGTAAAAGACCTTATTTCTTCAATGCTGTAAACTTCACGCATCTGCAAATCATTTGTAAATACTCTTGATTTAGGTACGTCAGAGTAAATTAAGCTTGTGTAATATGCGTCTAGCGATTCGACAGATTTATTTAAAAAGGATTCACTTTTGCATTTTGCTTTCCTATATGCTCTATACTCTGAAGTTGTTAAGTAAACATTATTCTTATCTTGATTATCTTGATTGCTTACTGTTTCGAATTGATTTTTACATTCTAAACTATTATTTACTTGTTTCTCTTCAGCCTTGTATTCAAATTTAGTTTTAGAATCAAGCAATTTATTTTTATCGTTATTTAAAGAACTTGTTTTCAAGAGTTGAATGCGTTGTCCATTTTTTTCCACTTTTAAAGTGTTTATATTAAAACTTCGCCTATTTTTGCTGTTTCGCTTTGTCATAATACTCGATAACGTGTTTTCGTCTAAACTTTTATTGAGAGTCTTAGTGAAAGCAGTAATTAAATTGTTTTCTGATTGTGAAAGCCTTTGATTCTTGTCTTTTCTTAGCGGAAACACGGTTAATTCATTATCAAACATATCATCCTCAATATGAAATGAGTTTGTTTGATCCGATAACTTTTTTTTTATTGCCATACGTCTTTTCCCAAGCAAATTTTTGCTTGATAGATGTCCATTTTCGGTAGATAAGCTATCGCTTTCGACTGATAAATTAACATTTTCACTTGACTTTGTTAATGAACTTTCCAATAAAGTTTCGTCATCTTCTGATATAAAACTTTGACTATGCTTGCTTTTTTTCAAAAAAGCAAGTTTTGGGGTGGATACCCTGCTGATTGAGTCTGACATTTTTGTGATAGAGGGTTTTTCTTCAACAAAAACACCGTAAAATTGAGCGGAATAAATATTAAACTTCATTTTATTTTTTAATTCGTCAATTTTGTTTCGATAACTTTTTGTATGGTAATCGCCAAAAGATAATAGATACTTTGGTCTTTCTTTCTTTAAAACGGACACTTTGATTTTTGAATTAAGCTGAAATATCTCATAAGTAAGATTCCCGTTACAAGGTTGGTTTTCGGTTACGGTTACAACAGTATCGTAGACGTGTACGTTTTGCAAAATTGCTATTCCATCTGGTAACTGGGAGTTAGAAGAGTTTAAAAAGCGTACGGTTTGTGGAAAAACATTTTTAACTAATAGCATTTGCAAAGATATTTTTTCTTTTGATACAACAAACACAAAATATTCTTTGTTAAGAAGAGAGTCCAATGATACAGATATTTTTTTATCACCTATTGTAGTAAGTGTAATTTTATTAATGTCATTAAAAGTTTCGTCACTAGAAAACTTGAGCTCTTCGCAAGAACTAGACGTTACAACGTTATAGTTATATTGAGATTTAGATAAAATATAGGTAACTTTTGGAACCAAACTTTTTACTTCTTCTAAAGTTTCTGGGTATACAATGTCAACAACGTTAACGAGAATATTGATCTGGTCATATGTATTTAAACGAAACTCTTTTCCATACCAATCGGTACCAAATAAAAGCTTGACAAGTTCTCGTTGCAGAAGAGCAATTTTTTTACCATTATAAAGAATAAGGTTCTCATTCAATGAGAAATCGGACCGTATCACCAACAATACTGGAAGTTTAAAAGCCTCAACTTCAGAAAGCAAACATTCTTTGGATGTTTTTTCAGACATGATTATATAAATACGCGCATAAAATAAAACATCTGATTATAGATGTACATCCTTACTCGTTATAATGAATGTTTATAACATATACGCAAAATCATAAGTGACACAACTTTTTAATACTCTTTGAGATTAAGTTTTCTTTTGTCCTTTTAAATTGCTGAGATAATCTTTTTATATATACTTTTAACGATGTTTTTTTAAAAAATTTTGACATTTAAATGGAAAAAAAAAAAAATGAATAAAGACAAACAGTAAATAAAGTGTACTATTATAGGTAAGCAAAACGCGTAATAAAAAAGGCATAAAATAATTATTGTCACATATTAATTGAACTTTATAGTGTTAAAAAACTTATGCTTATTGCATATATATAATAGTTAAAAAAAAAGTCAAAATGTAATCGAAAATAAACAAAACGCTGAAATCGATTATAATAAAGTAAACTTTCATAATTATCATTAAGAAAAAGAAAGAAAAAAAAAAGTGGCTCAAACTAATTACAAAAAGTAAACTTTCGCGCTTATCGAAACAAAAAGCTAAATCCAATTAAAATGTAGTAAACATTTATGACTATCGAAACAAAGTTCGAAAGTGAAATCAATTCAAAAAAGTAATTTTTCATGCAATTATCAAAGCAAGATAAAGAACGGAAGTTTTTTATTTATTACACTTTATAAAAATGTTTTAGACATTAATAAAATTAATAAAATACATCCTTTGTTCTTACTTTGTTACTATGGTTTCTTATTCTATGCTGTATTTTATTAGTATTTTTTTTCATACTTCATTTTTTTTAATTGAATAAAAA